TTGCTACATTGTCCTTTGTAATTTCGTATTTTGTAGAAACTCATTCATTATAAACTTAGTTCATGAAAAATAGAAATATCTTATACTCCAATGCAGTGTTTACCTTCTTTTGGTCAGCTCTGAAATATCTATAATCTATACATCTATATCTAATCTGTTTTAAATTTTACCCGCAGTTTCACTTGCAAAAAAAACAACCACCCCCCCCAAAAAAAACCCAAACCAAACCAAACTCAATTTATTCATTTAAATCAGACTCCTTCCAAGGGAAAAATAACTATGTTTTTCCACCGGCAACACTTTTATCCCACTCTCTGACCAGATGCCCTAATCAGAAATTGCTCTGCTATGCAGCAGAGGTGATGCAGAAGAATTCAAATAATCCTCAGATCTGGTGGACAGCTGTTTCCTGCTGGCTAATTGGTCATTTGGAACGCATAATAAAACTCACATCTTCTTAGCAACAAATTTTCATTTTTTCCCTTTTTATTTGTGTATGTTGTCCAGTGAAACGATATCTCTGCAAATGAGCCTGAAAAGAGGGAAAAAATACAGTGCTAAGAGCTGAATGAAAGAAGGTAAATACAAATAATCAGAAATGACCAGATGCGCATACTGTCGGCCTCCATACCATCACCACCTTCTTGCCTGCTACTCTGGTTATCATTGTATCGGTAGGTTGATCCACAACACCCAGTTCAGTGTGTCTGTTCACAATCTCTAGAGTCTTACAGAAGTAGATTTAATGACAATAGCAGTTTTCCCTTTTAAATATAGTTTTACGGGGCACCTGGATGGCTCAGTGGGTTAAAGCCTCTGCCTTCAGCTCTGGTCATGATCCCAGAGTCCTGGGATCGAGCCCCGCATCGGGCTCTCTGCTCAGCCAGGGAGCCTGTTTCCTCATCTCTCTCTGCCTGCCTCTCTGCATACTTGTGATCTCTGTCTGTCAAATAAATAAAAAAAAATCTTAAAAAAAATATATAGTTTTACTTTCTGAGCTAATAAATCATTGTTTTGATCATCCCATATACCACATTCCAAGACTTAAAATATACAAGAAAAACAAGCTGCTTCAGAAGAATTCTAAAGATTAAAGTCCCTTCTATTTTGAACCCATAGATAGGCTGGCTACTCAACAGCAGGCCTTGAATTAGGGCTTGCTTATCTTAACACTAATAACTTTTTACAATTCTTAAATCCTTTATCTTAAACTAAGTGAGGTTAAACATTCTCTCTCTCCAAAGCCATTCTCGAATCCACTCCACAAAATGACTACACCTGAAAACTTCCACAGAAGTTACCATCTAAAAGGATACTGCTATGTTCTGAGACACCTGTCCTGCCCTAGAAAAGAATCTACAGTCAAAAATGTAAAGGGGGCGCCTGCGTGGCTCAGTGGGTTAAAGCCTCTGCCTCTGGCTCAGGTCATGGTCTCGGGGTCCTGGGATTGAGCCCCGCATCTGGCTCTCTGCTGGGCGGGGAGCCTGCTCCTCCTCACCTCCCCCGCCCCCCCGCCTGCCGCTCTGCCTACTTTTGATCTCTGTCAAATAAATAAAAAACATCTTTAAAAAAATGTAAAGAGCACTGGGTGTTATACACAACTAATGAATCACTGAACCCTACATCAAAAACTGATGATGTACTATATACTGGCTAAATGAAATTAATAAAAAAAATTAAAAATGTAAAGTATGCTAAACCAAATAATTCTTACATTTTAGGTTTTCCTTTCTGTCTGCTTTCTCCATATTTGATTAACGGGTAGGCTTTTCTTTTTTTCTTTCTTTAATAACAAAAGGCTAACACTCCTTCCTTTCACTGGGCTAATCAAACAAAATGTTTTGATTACATGGAAGGAAAATGCATTCCCTGCAAGGATTTAATATCCAAGCAAAGGAATGAAACAGACCACAAAAAGAGTATGACCACCTACATGTGTCCCTCCTGTTTGGTAGGGTGGGAGTGGGGTCAGATAAGCAGGGAAAGGAGAGAAAGAAATTGCTGTATTTATAGGAAATAAACTAATGTAACAAGAATTTCCTGACCTCCAGGCTGGGGAAGATATAACCCTGCAATAGTAATGAATCCACTTGTTTCTAGTTGAACTCCCACAAACATGATAATTGGAACTCCAGCTCACACAGAGCTTTTTCTCCTTTAAGGCAGGACAGCAACAGGTATGGGGATGGGTAGTGGAGAGGACACTCAGGAGTGCCAGTGGCTACTGCAGCCACCAGTACCCCAACCTGCTTTAGTCAGGAATGCCTCCATTCTTTCCTATCTGAAGCCGAAGTGAAACTCCTGCAGCTAGGGCCAGTATCTTCTTCCTCTGTGACCTTTGCCAGTCATCCTACTCTGAGGCAGACCAGTCCCTTTTCTCATTATGGAGGCATCCAACAACCCTGTGCACAGCAAAGGGAACAAGAAACTGCTTCTATCCTTTATCTGGTTTCCATGGAAGCTTTCCATGGAAGCTGAAAAGGACCAGAGAAGAGGCAGAAGCCTTTCTACACTCCTCCCCTCTCTTCCAAGAAAGCCCCAGGAGATCTAAGGGAGTTAGCCCTCTTCCAGAGAGAGCTACCCCTTCTTTGCCTTTAGCCAAGTTTCCTTCCACTCATCCACATATTTCTTTTCTTCTCCCCAAATACGGCAGATAAATTATTTTCTCCTCTCCTTTTCATGGCTTTCCATGAATATCCATAAAATGAACTTGTTTAAGCATAGAGTATACAATTCTCCTAAGGGTAAATTACCAAAAAAAAAATCAGCTTTATTGAGGTATAACTGACAAATGAAATTGTTAAGATTTTAAAGTGTACATCATGGTGATTTGACATCCATATACATTATGAAAACATTCCCCCCATCTGGTTACTTAATATATTCATTACTTCTCATATTTATCTTCTTTGTGTATAAGAACATTTAAGTTCTGCTTTTTTAGCAATATCAATTATAAAACGCAATGTTATCAACTATAGCCACCATGTTTTATGTTACATCTTCAGACTTCATTCATCGTATAGCTGAACGTTTGCTGTTAGGGTAGATTCTATACTTTACACCTAATTTCCATAGCCCTGGGACCAGCAATTGGTACATGACAGTCAATCAATGCTTGGATAATGAATGAATGAATGAATGAATGAATGAATGAATTAATAAATATAGCCAACCGAAGTTCATAATTTTTCTATCCTCAGATTGAAGAGAAAATTCTTCAGTGACTGACTTTGCCTCCTACTCTTTTTTACAAAAGTGAACTTCTATTATCAAATAGTTATCAAGATCCATTCCTTTGGATACATTTCCTTCCTCAAATAGTTATCATACCATTTCCTTTGAAGAAAATTCAAACTGGGGATTTCTATTAGTTTACTCTCCAAACAATTTTGTTTTCAAGTTTAAGCCTTCACACTGGGAATGAGCTCTTCAAACTCTTTTGAGGGTGGGGATGGGGGAGCTAAGGGAAAAAAACATATAGGAAGTACTCCCCAAGCAACAAAACAGGAGGAGAATCCAATACTTTTTAGAAGCCAGCCAGTACATGTAACCATTTTTGTCTTATGAAGAGGAAAAGACAACAAACCTAACTTAAATGAATAAAAGCTCTGGCAATAAAATAAAGCAATCCAGAATAATCTGCAAATGCAAGTACCCTACTAATTGTTTCTCAGAAACCATTAAAAGAGTCATCTTTCCTCCCTGTGTGTACAACTTCATAAAAATATTCTTCATACAGATTTTCATGCACTGGCCTCTTTAAGACAAAATCAGTCAAAAAAATAAGCCAGTCTAATCCAGAAGATGCCAGTGCACACTGAACAAAATAATAAATCTTGAGGAAACTATATAAAGAGGCTTTGTATGTATTTCATCAATGATGATGCTGTCTGCTGATAATGAGATCACTGATGGGTGGCAGCGGAGATCTGACGTCAGCACTGCTCCTGCTTATCATACAATATCGGGAAGAATATAGCCTTTTCACCCTCAGTCTGTCATCTGCAAAACGTTGATAATAAATGAGTGTTCATGTGAATTCCTCAGTTAATGTTCTCAAGCACTAGGAAAGGAGCATAGCTCCAGCTATTAGTGAGTGAGTCACAATAACGAACTTCCTGCCATTCCATACTCATCGTCAATGATGAGTGAAAAGCAACCAGGCAAGTCAATGTAATAGTTGAATGAGGTCCTCAAACAGTGATCACTTTCTTTGTTCAATGAAGGTGAAGTAAAGAAGACAGTTTACGAGTTGGCAGTACTATAATGATATACTTAAGAGGCACAGCTTACTTCCAGAGACAGAGTTTCAGCTGGTGAAACTTTAACAATATTTACAGAATGCCTACGATGTACAGTAAACATCTCAAAATAGAATCCAGATTTTATCATCAAGGTTTGCAGAACCTAGTTTTAGCCATGGCTAGAGCAAACGCAGTTATCCTGTTGGAAAAGATATTAAGAAATTATGTTGGGGATCAGGTAAGATAAACAAATTTATAACATACTTACAACATAGTAGTTAGATAGCTCCACATTTGAAATGACTTGGTAATTATAACATTATTTAGCTTAAAATATCAACAGCCAGGATGTGTTAGGTCTATGTACATGGAGAATAAAGGTCCAGTGGCAGCACCAATACCAAGCAGTTGCTATGAGGAAAGGGAAACTACTGACAATTTAAAAATGTACAAACCCACAAAACAATCATTTTTTATTGAGGGAGAATGCACTCTAAAGTTCCAGGACACAACATTTCTCTATTTCATAGATACCTCTTGAGTAGAGATGATTATGCATCCATATATGTCATATTATTTATAAAGACGTTCGTTCTAAGTCATTTATATTTGCTTTCACAGACTATGTATTTGACTGAGTGATGCCAAATAGATGAAATAATAGGCACTATCTCAGTTGCATTTAAGAGCCAAATTTACCCAAAAAGCTCACCTGAAATACCAAAGGCTGTATAAAAACATATACCTACGTACATTGGAACCACTAAAGATATCTGATTCTTCACATTCACAGCAAAGTAACACTGCTGATTCACTGTCTTCCAAATGAGAGCTCTGTAATATAAACAATATCATTTCAGAGATCCAAATGAACGGGGGCCATGAGCATGAGGGAAAAGCCAGCAAAAATCACTGAGTCATGTTAGCTCAGAGGTGAGAAGTTGCAATTCCGATTAGTGACGGCTATGTTGGAGAGAATACAGCCAACAAGTTGATTGGTTAGGTGACTGGAAAATTGATTGAAAAATGTTTGATTAGCTGAAGCATCTTCCATGATTTCCAATTTGGGCAATGGGGTGTCCGTTTCTGCAAAGATGGTGCTACTAACCCTGTATAGTATGTACTCTGTATACTTCTCAGAATGGGGTAGGTTTGTGCTCATTTATCCTCAGATCCAAAGGTACATATTTGATTTGATTGTTTAGAGTCAGGCTTTAGAATATAACATAGGACACGACTGGGGTATCTAACCACTAGCCTCATTAGCCCTCTGCTAACAAGTGTTTATAAGAACAGCCAAAAGATATGCCCTGCCCAAGTCCCCCTGACAGATGCCAGAAAACAATTTAAAACCTTTCTTCCACTATCCAATCTCTTTTTCAAAATCTGTCTAGAAGACCGATAAGGAAAAGGAGACAAAGAAGTGAAACAATTAGCTGGTAACACTAGAGTATTTTTCCCTTATGACTAACACCACCACAAAAGAGAAGAAAAAAAGCTCTAACTCTGACCCATTAAGTCCCATCCAAATGTCTGCTATTTGAGTAACAGCTGCTGGAAACTGAGCTGTCCCTGCATAGAGATGTAGATGTTTATGTCATCAAAACTTCTCACTATCATATTATCCAGCAATCCCACTTCTGGATATAAATCCAAAAGAACTGAAATCAGGATCTAGAAGAAGTGTTTGTACTCTCATGTTTGTTGCAGCATTATTTACAATAGCCAAGATAATGGAATCAACCCAGATGTCCAACAATAAACAAATGGTTAAAGAAAAAGTGATATATAGGGGCGCCTGGGTGGCTCAGTGGGTTAAAGCCTCTGCCTTCGGCTCAGGTCATGATCCCAGGGTCCTGGAATCGAGCCCTGCATCGGGCTCTCTGCTCAGCGGGGAGCCTGCTTCCTCCCTTCTCTCTCTCTGCCTGCCTCTCTGCCTACTTGTGATCTGTCTGTCAAATAAATAAATAAAATCTTAAAAAAAAAAGTGATATATACATACAATGGAATATTATTCAGCCTGAAAAAGGAAGTCCTAAGTGAAATAAGCCAGTCACAGAAGGATGAATACTACATGATTCCACTTATTTGAGGTGTCCAAAATAATCAAACTCACAGTAGCAGAGAGTAGAAAGGTAGTTGTTGGGGCGGGGGTGGGGGGTCGCTAAGGGAGATTTTTGTTTAATGGATATAAAGTTTCAGTATTGTAAGATGAAAAAGTTATGGAGATCCGCTGTGCCACACAGTGTCTACTGTTAACAATAATACTCTATTGTGCATTTAAAATTTGTTAGGAGGGCAGATCTCATGTTAAATATTCTTACCACAAAACAAATAGACAACAACAACAACAAAAATGCAAAGAGGCACAAGGAAATTTCTGGAGGTTCAAAATGAACTAAACATAGGTTTAGTGATGGTTATAGTGATGGTTTCACAGGTGTGTGCATATGTCCAAACTCATCAAACTGTATATATAAACTATGTGCAGTTTTTTGTTTATCAATTATATCTCAATAAAGCTCTTAATGACAAAAAAAACTTCTCACTACTACTGGCTGAAACTTAATCATATATATCTACTCTGGCTATCCTAGTTGACTCTTACTTTGATTTTTCAAAGCTGAAACTATGTCTCAACCCATTGAATACCTGCAGAGAATTAAGAGTTTTAGAGTGCAAATAAATGAAAGAAGTAAAGCTCAGAGTTACTATTCCTGATAACTGCCTTCTCCTGGTTTATTTCCTTCTTTTTTCCTATCCTGATCCTTTGCCTACTTTGGTTTTTCCTTCTTACAACCAACTCTCATCTTCCATTATCCCTCCCTCTTCCTCTTTTAGAAAATAAACAGAAAAACCAAATATTTAAAATCACTTTTTAAATCCTGCATATGCAAAATCTCTTTATTTCTTATACCCTTGCGATTTGGGGGGGGAGAGAAAATAAGAACGTCTTCTTAAAAAGATTTATTTATTTTAGTGTGGGGATGGGAGAGAATCTCAAGCTGACTCCTCACTGAGCATGGAGCCCAGTGTGCAATTTCATGACCCTGTGATCATGACCTGAGCCAAAATCAAGGGTCAGACCCTTAGTCAACTGAGACACACAGACCTGGGAAAAAACATTTACTTTCCATTTGTGTTTTTTAAAAGTATTCAAAATTTAAAAAGTATTCAAAAGTATACAAAATAGTTGAAGACTTAGTTCTAAAAGTCATATCAGAAAAGCTAAAGGCATAATAAAAAAATAAATTAAATATCTGAAGGAATTAATAAGGCAGAGATAAAAACTGCTTTCAATTCTCCCAAATTCTCATATCACAACAGATGATAACATAGATAATATTAAGCATATCAAAAGTGGCTTGTCACTGCCCCAGTGTATACAATTAATCCAAATTATACTAGTTAAGATTTTAAAATTTTCATTCCAGTAAATATTTCAGCATGTTTACCTGAGTTCTTTTAAAATAGCTTCTAAAAAGGAGGTCCTGTAATGACTTGCACTCCTAAAGTTACTTTAAGATTTTATTGCATACTTATTAATTGCAATTTAATTCATTAAGATATAAGGTATCAATTTACGTGTGCTCATAGCATTAAAAATAATTGGTTCATGGAACAAGTATTTATTTGCAAACAACATATTTAGTTCCAAATTAAATTCTAATCCAAAGGAAGACAAAAGATATTTCAAGTTCTTTTCTCTGCTTTCTGGGGTATTTGGTAATTCCAGTTCCTGAATTGTTCCTGGGTTCTGCAGCATGAACTATCCTGCTTATACCTATGAAGAACTTATTCCAAGAATGAACAAATATGTAGGAATTCTATTAATATAACTTAGCACATTAAGTCAAATGAGAAAAACTCTAAGATTATCTAAATGGATGCTAAAAAGTATTTGATCAAATTAATGTTTTTAGTAAAGTAGGAATATAAGATGCTTCTTTTATTCACTCCTTAGGTGGGCTTTAATATATACGTAGTACTCAAGTTGGTAGGCCCTCAGCTCAACTTGGCCGTAACTGAATTTCATATTGAACTAAACCTTCCAGTATTTCTTCTAGCCTGAGGATCCCACTTTGTAATGCAGATACCAATTCTCTTTTCTTTTGCTTCTTTCCCTCCTTCCTCCCTTCTTAAACGTCCCTTTAGCCATTTCAGTAGGAATTTTGAAGAGGATAATGTCAAAGTCATATTTTTGCTTCAGAAGTGCCAAGTCCAAATCTTAACTAAATTAAGTTCATATCCTGGTTCTGCCACCTACCAGCCATGTGATATTGAACATATTACTTAATCTCTCTAAGCTGAATTTCCTGACCCATAAATATAGGCACAATAATGGCATCTATCTAATAGGGTCAATGGAAAGATTACATTCGAGATAATCTGGGAAAAGCACTTAGCATGAGTTGCCTACTGACGTTACTACTGCTGCTGCTGCTGTTCTTAGTAATATGATAGTAATAATAATCTCTCAACTAGATGTAAAAGGCTTATAAATTTGCATTAAATTCTCTTTCAAAGAAACTTCTGCTATCTAGGGAAATTTTGCTTCTATAAAATTGTGTTTCACTTCTAGAGACAACTTTGTATTCCTATATAACCCTGAAGTATTGAGCTCACGATGAGTCATTCGTTAAAATTTATCATACCCTTAATATGAATTAAGCAATTTTCTGGGTGCTGAATTAGCTACAGTAAAACTCTAAACAAAAAGGGAAAGAAAACCAAACAGTTTCCAGAATTGTTTTTGTTTTTTATGGATGCAAAAGCCACAAAAATAAGGATATAGCTCTGTGGAAATAGGCTCCTTTGGCTAAGTATTGCTTGGAGAAAAACAGGGGCTAAGATTGCTGCTAAGGAAAATACATCCATATATAAAAGAAGTCTCAATCCAGAACAGCTTCTAAGCAACAATTATAGTAATAAAATGTTGCAATCTTTATATGGTATGTATGATGCAAGGACTCATGTGCTAAGAAGGATGTTTTGAAGAGTGTTAAAATCTAACTTGTGCAGTTACCTAACAATTTGCAAGTAGAAGTCTTAAGAAATAATCTTGCAAGTGTCAAAACCTGTTGCTACTGTTACGTGTCTTTTATTCTTGTTATAGTTTATATGATTTTAAGAAGCAGAAAACACTGTTACATGTCTTTTATTTATTTTTTTAATTAAAAAAAATTTTTATAAACATATAATGTGTTATTAGCCCCAGGGGTACACGTCTGTAAATTGCCAGGTTTACACACTTCACAGCACTCACCAAAGCACATACCCTCCCCAATGTCCATAACCCCACCACCCTCTCCCTCCCCTCCTCCCCCCCAACCACCCTCAATTTGTTTTGTGACATTAAGAGTCTCTTATGACTTGTCTCCCTCCTGATCCCATCTTGATTCATTTATTCTTTTCCTACCCCCCAACCCCCCCATGTTGCATCTCCCTATTTCTTCATTTATATTTTCTCCCAACTTTTTTTTGGGGGGGGGGCGTTCTAAGTGAACACATTTCAGCTGTTCTTAAAACAAAACAAAACTAGAGAATTTGACAATAAACTAATAGACACCAAACCAAAAAATATGTGTGTACCTTAAAGCCTAGTGTACACTCTGGGACTAAGCTTTTAACCCCTTAAAGGCCAAGGCAAGAAGCAGGTCTTACTTATCCTGACACTTACATGTACCTGGATTGACAAAGTGATTTCACAGCCTAATGATGACCTAAGTGAAATAACCTTCTTTGCAGTCCCTAACCCCAATTACACATTTAAAAATTTTTCCTCCCTTCTTTCCTCCCTTCTTCCTTCCTTCCATTACATCCCCATGACTTAC